AACCCGCAGGCTCAGGCAATCCACTCACCTCAGCCTCCCAAAGTGCTGGGATTACAGGCTGAGCCACCGAACCCGGCTTCATCAGGATTCTTTTTTTTTTTTTTTTTAATTGTAGAGAAAAGGGCTCACCAAGTTGCCCAGGCTGGTCTCGAACCCCTGAGCTCAGGCAGTTCTCTCGCCTCCACCTCCCAAAGTGCTGGGATGACAGGCGTGAGCCACTGTGCCCAGCTATAATCTTATATATACAGAGAAAAGTCTGGAAGAAATGAAAATGGTAATTACATCATGGCAGTGAGGAAGGGAATAAAGGAGACAGGCCAGCAGAAACTTTCAGTCTTCGCTCTCTGTATAAATGATTTGAAATTTATTTTTATGACAAACACCTTAACCTTGCTGTAATCTTCTATTATATTCTTCCAAAAATATATCCTCATTATTAAAAAAATTAAACCATAAAAAAAGATAAAGAGTTAAAAAGCAGCCAGGCATAGGGGCCCACACCTGTAATCCCAGCACTTTGGGAGACTGAAGTGGGTGGATCACTTGAGTCCAGGAGTTCGAGGCCAGCCTTAGCAGCATAGCAAGCCCTCATTCCTACAAAAAAAATTTTTTTTAAGTAGCCTGGTGTGGTGGTGTGAGCCTATAATCCCAGCTACTTGGGGGGTTGAGAAGGAAGAATCACCCGAGCCCAGGAGTTCAAAGCTGTGGTAAGCTGTGATTGTGCCATTGCACTCCAGCCTGGGTGACAGAGGGAGAGAGGGGAAGGGGTGGGGGTGGGGTAGGAAGAGAGAGAGAGAGAGAGAGAGAGCGCACACGCACGCACACACACACATACACACACACACACACACACACACACACACACACACGCAGGTGGGGGGGGAGGAAGAGGAAGGGAGGGCAAAAGGAAGGAAGGAAGGAGGAAAGGAGAGAGAGAGAGAGAAGAAAGAAAATGTCCTAAAATCAGGTACTGGTGCTAGCTATCCAACTCTGAATATTCTAGAACTCCCTGAACTGCAGAATTTAAAAACATCAGTTCATATGTGAATTATAACACAGTAAAGCTGTTTTTTTAAAAAAAACCCACATATGTCCAAACTCAGAACTCTACACCAAAAAGGGTAAACTTTATCGTATACCTTAATAAATTCAGCTTTATTTATGTATTTATTTATTTATTTTTTGGAGTCGGAGTCTCACTCTGTCGCCCAGACTGGAGTGCAGTGGCCGCTCCCGGCCACTGCAGCCTCGACCTGCTGGGCTCCGGTGATCCTTCCGCCTCAGCCTTCCAAGTAGCTGGAACTACATGTGTGTGCTACCATGCCTGGTTAATTTTTGATTTATTGTAGAGATGTGGTCTCGCCAAGTTGCCTAGGTGGGTCTCGAACCCTCAGTCTCAGGCAATCCACTCACCTCAGCCTCCCAAAGGCATGGGATTACAGGCTGAGCCACCAAGCCCGGCTAAATTCAGCTTTAAAGAAGACTCATATACCCTTTTATCAACTCTCAGTACTCATCCTCAGAAAACACGAAAGAACATCCAGAAAGATTTAGTTTAAAGGATGTTTGTTACAGCAATGTTACAAGAAGGAAATAAACATGTCCAACAGCAGGAGTCTGGATATTTATGGAATACTATGTGGCCATTAAGAATGTCCTAAGAAATTAATCATTGATGAGGAAAGGTAATGTATCAGGTCTCAGCAGGAAAGCAGGCACATTCAGATTGGGTCATCTGAGTAGAGTTTAACAAGGGTGTTATTTATAAAGCAGGGAGCAGGAAAACCACGAGCTATAGGGCAGGGCCTGGCATCACAAGCAGGGGGGCGTGAACAGCTGAAGCGCCAGAAAAAGCAGCAGTGTGGAGAGGCTGGCCACTCAGCCTGCCTTCCACGAGGGACCCGCCAACCTGCTGACACCCGGCTGGGAGGGACTCTGCAGCGTGAACACAGAATCTGTTCTCCTCTCACGACAGCTTCCTGCTAGGGCCTCCAATGGATGAAGCCAGTGGGACCCCCGAGGGCGAGGGAGGAACAGGATGGAGAGCCAATCTGAGGGACAGATGGTATATACCCAGCACAGACAGCCTAACAGGAAACAAAAGAAGTGGTTCACTAGAGACTACACTTTTAACAAGAATGACAGATAATATGTAATCTCTTAAATTCTGAGCTGGGTGCGGTGACTCAGGTCTGTAATCCCAGCACTTTGGGAGGCCAAGGTGGGAGGATCGCTTGAGGCCAGGGGGTCAAGATGAGCCTGGGCAACAGAGCAAGATCTGTCTCTACAAAAATAAAAGTTAAATTAAAAAACAAAAGGAATTCTGGAACAGTTTACTCCAAGAGGTAAATAGTGGTTCATTCAAACTTCTTCAACAGTGATGCTACTGGCAACTGATGAAGTGATTCTTCATCGCTGGGGGCTGTCCCGAGCATTTCAGGACATTTAGCATTTCTGGTCCCTAGGGCACCAAACGCCAGCAGAAACTCCAGTCATTTCAATAACATTTCAATGAACCCACTTAAAAACCCCTACCCACTGCCAGATATGGGGTGATTCCACACCTGTGAGGAACCCTGTGTGTGCTACCATTGATTTCTGATTTCTTTTCTCTGATCTGCTCTTTTAAAATTTTTCTACAAAGACCAGGTATTGCTTTCGTGAAATGGAAATCGTGTTCACTATTATTTTTAAAGGAACTCAACAGGTTTGGAGGAATCATTGAGATTCCAGCTCTCGGTAAGCCTTATTGGTCTTTCTCCAACTGAGTTTGCTCATGACAGTAAGTAAATAAAAGGTGACTCACATTATTATGTGGGTGCTGGAATTCATTTTGAAGTCACCAATAGCAGGAAGGGCACAATTAGCTCTGCTTCTTACAAATCACTTTTATTCTTCAAGTACTTGTAATAGCTATGAGATCACAGCATCCTACAATTCACAAGTCAAGTACTGGATTGCTCCTAGCTTGTTATATAACTTCAAGAGGAAAGAAACCACCATGATTTTGATTGCACACGTAGTGACAGTGGCACAGCCTTGGTTTTAGTCCCACCCCATGAGAAAGGCAGGAAAAGCGATTTGGACAAGTGATTTGAAGCAGCATTGTGTTTCGTTCTCTGTATTATTCCATTTCCCCAGGTTCTGGCAGGAAGTCAGGTTCTTAGTAATTCTTTGTCTCCATATTTTGTTTTCACAAGGCAGAAAGTAGCATTTTTCTCAGGGCAAGTATATTTTAATCTCAGAAACGGACAGCGATAGTTTAAAACACACACACCCCTCTAATCTCAGATGAAGAATCAGTGGTTCATAATTCATGACATCCAAGAAACCATCCATCACCTGCATCCCGATTCAGATATGAAAACACAAACAAAAAGTATCTTAGAATCAATAAAACACAGTGTATCATTTCAGGTGATCCTTAGCATTTTGAATGGTGAGAGTTTCTCTAATTTAAAAAAAAAAAGTACTTTTAGCCTAATGGGCTCACACTACTGATGACGGTTTAAATCAGTAGAACTTTGGGGGACAATAACTTCAGAATATGTCACAAAACCCTTAAATGTCTATGGGAGTGCCAAAAAAAGTATATACATTTTAAGTGATGTTATCTATGTATTACCTATAGTTCACCATAATCAGAAGTGCCTGGATGCTGATGGTAACCACTCTGAGCACCTCTTGTAATTGCAGAAGTCAAACATGACTTGTATTCATCTTTTCTTATCGGTATATATTAAGCTTTACAATTTTAACACTTTTTTTCCTTTCTTAAAATATGTATTTTTTGGCCAGACATGGTGGTGGTGTGCCTGTAGTTCCAGTTACTTGGAAGGTTGAGGTAGAAGGATCGCCAGAGCCCAGCAGGTTGACACTGGGGTGGCGGTGAGCGTGACACTGCACACCAGTCTGGGTGACAGAGTGAGACTCCAATTCAAAAAAAAAGTGTATTTTTTGTAGAGATGTGGTTTCACTATATTGCACAGATTGGTTTTTTTTTTTAAAAAGTGTATACATTTTTTGACACCCTCTGTATACCTTTAACCCAACAATTCTACTTTAAGGAACTTTTCCTCAAGAAAATATTGGGCTGGGTATGATAGCGCACGCCTGTAATTCCAGCATTTTGGGTGGCTGAGGCAGGAGGATTGCTTGAGGCCAGGAGTTCAAGACCAGCTTGGACAACAGAGCGAAACCTTGTCTCTATTTAAAAAGAGAAAAGAAAGGCATTGGACAAATGTGGAAAGATGGACACAGAAGGAAGATTGCTGCCGCACTGGCTATACTAATAAAAGCTAGAAACATATTAGTCTTAAAACAGAAGGCTGAGGAAATCAACTGTGGTTCTGCCTCATGACAGAAATCGACACTAATGTGAGATTATACTACAAGAGCTTCCAGACCCTGAAAAATGTTCATGGCAAAGTAAGTGCAAACAAGCACGTCACAAATCAGTACAAAAAAAAATCACAAGAAAACATGCAAACAAAACAGTATAAAAGGAGTTTCAGAAAGAACTGAAAAAATGGAGAAAAAAAAAATCTCGCCAGGTGCAATGGCTCACACTTGTAATCCCAGCACTTTGGGAGGCAGAGGCAAGAGGACTGCCTGAGTCCAGGGGTTTGAGACCAGCCTGGGCAACTTGGCGAGACCTCATCTCTACAATACATCAAAAAATTAGTCAGGCATGGTAGTGCCAGCTACTTGGAAGGCTGAGACAGAAGGATCGCTGGATCCCAGCAGGTCGAGGCTGCTGTGGCTATGAGCATGCCACTATACTCCAGTCTGGGCGACAAAGTGAGACTCTGACCCCCCAAAAAATCTCTTTCCCCTACAGAGGGAGTCATGGTTTGCGTGCAGGCCTAGCGCTGGCAGCTCCGCCACTGCTGGGAGCCATGATCTTCCAGTTCCCCGGCTTTGACCTTCCAGCTCCCTCCCCTCATGTCCTTGTCTGGGGGGCCTACGTTGACCAGGAGTGAACGCACAATTTTCCCACCATGAACTGGAAGGTTCCTGAACACACATCCCAGCCGCTGTATGTCTTGACAACCAAAACATTCATTCTCTGCCTGGCATTTGCTGGAGTAAAAATATACCAAAGGAAAAGTCTGGAAGCAAAACAGCAAACACTGGAAGCTGAAAAGAAGAAGCAATGAGAGAAGAAGCCTACAGGGAGCCCAGGGCATGTCGCTAAGCATTTCAGACACAGCTGTGGTCTATAGGCCTGACACCCCCACAAGGTCCATGCAGATAGAAGAATGGCTCACAATGCACATGATGGAGAGCAGGACCAGAAGCTGAGTCAGGTTGACTCCTGTACCCGTGCCCAGGCTGGCTGCACCGCCCACCTGGATGCAGATTCTGCCATGTAAACATGAGAGCCAGTTGACTCCAGCTGAGAAGAAAGACTTGAGGATTGAGCCTTGTGTAGAGGATCAACGCCCAACCTGTATGGTTAGCTTAAAACAATGGGAATTTTTATGAGCTTTTGAAAGAACCAGCGTTTTGTTTACTAAAATAAAATACCTTTGTAAAAAGAGAGGAAAAAAATCTCCTTAAATTTACAACGGTTTTTCTTACAAGAGAACATGCCTGGTCCCCAGTATAATGGAAGAAAACATGCTTCTATAAAGGCACATCACTGGGATATTTCAAATATCTGGGGAGAAAGAAGATTCTACAAGTTTCCAGAAAAAAAAAAAATCAGGGCTGGGCACAGTGGTTCATGCCTATAATCCCAGCACTTTGGGAGGCCGAGGTGAGAGGACTACCTGAGCTCGCAGGGTCAAGACCAGCCTGGGCAACTTGGAGAGACCTCATCTCTATAATAAATGAAAAATTAGCCATGCATGGTGACATGTGCCTATAGTACCAGCTACTTGGAAGGCTGAGGAAGAAGGGTCATCTGAGCCCAGCAGATCAAGGCTGTAGTGGCCATGAGTGTGCCACTGCACTTCAGCCTGAGTGACAGAGTAAGATTCCAACTCAAAAAAAAATCAGGATAATGCCAGGCACGGTGGTTCACACCTGTAATCCAGCAACTAGGGAGGCTGAGGCAGGAGGAGCGCTTGAGGTCAGAAGTTTGAGACTAGTCTAGGCAACATAACAAGACCCTGTCTCTATAATAAATAGATGAAAAATAAAAATCAGGATAGACAATAAAGGAATAATCTTGAAATCTGAAGAAAAACAATTTTCAACCTAACATTCTCTACCGTGTCAAACTACGAATTATGTGTAACAGTAGAATCGAGTCATTTTGGTCACACACAGTGGTCCATGCCTGTAATCCCAATACTTCGGGAGGCTGAGATGAGAGGATTGCTTGAGTCCAGGAGTTTGGGACCAGCTTAGACAACACAGCGAGACCTCGTCTCTACAAAAAATTTTTTAAAAATTAGCCCTGTGCGGTGGTAGGTACCTGTAGTCCCAGCTACTCAGGAGGCTGAGGCAGAAGGATCACCCAGCTACTCAGGAGGTTGAGGCTGTGGTGAGCCTCCATCATGCCACTGTACCCCAGCCCACTGTACCCCAGCCCACTGTACCCCAGCCCACTGTACCCCACTGTACTGGGTGGCAGAGACCCCCCCAACTCACACAAAGAAAGAAAATCTCTTTTAAAAATCTTATTTATATTTTTAAAATATATACACAACTCAAAAAGTGTTTTCAAAAAGAATCAAGACATCTTGAAAGACACAGTCTCAATTTCCACAGGCATCCTTTCTTGGGAAACTACTAGAAGCTGTGTGTCCCCTCAGCGGGAGTGAGGCAAGGCGGAGAAGGACACTGGACACGGGAAGCAAGTCTCCAACCCCAGAGAGAAGGGAAGGGAATCTTCAGGGCAATGCTGGGGAGCCCTGACAGCCAGCTGTGTGCAGGCCACCAAGCCAGGTGGGCACAGTTTGGAGGCTCCCAAAGAAGGTGGTCATGAGGATGTCTGTCTGAATCCCCGATGCCTCTCAGCTCAGGGAGGAGATTTAGACAACATGGGCTAAATTAGTCACTAAATATCTGAAGAACAAAGAAGTGGAAAAGGGCACTTGCTCACGCTTGGGAAAACAAGAAATTGGGCAAGAAAGGAAAAGTGTTCATAGCCTACTCAGTGGCTCTGAGGCAAGAAGCATTTATGGTGTCAAAGGTCACCACTGGCTGTGATCTGATGTTGATGTCTTGATAAACCCATCGAAAATAAAAAAAAATATCGTAAGTCGGAAATGCATTTAGGAAAAATCACCTGTCCAGTACAATGTGCTTAGGTGGGAGTGTGGGTACCCTTAAAGCCCAGACTTTTTTCCCACTGTGCGATGCAAACATGTAACCAAACATTATTTGTACCCTATAAAGCTATTGAAATTTTTAAAAAGGCCGGGCTCGGTGGCTCAGCCTGTAATCCCAGCACTTTGGGAGGCCGAGGTGAGTGGATTGCCTGAGCCCGCGGGTTCGAGACCCGCCTGGGCAACTTGACAAGACCTCATCTCTACAATAAATCAAAAAATCAGCTGGGCATGGTAACACACGCCTGTAGTTCCAGCTACTTGGAAGGCTGAGGCGGAAGGATTGCCGGAGCCAGCAGGTCGAGGCTGCGGTGGCTGGGAGTGGCCACTGCACTCCAGTCTGGGTGACAGAGTGAGACTCCAACTCAAAAAGAAAAAAAAAAGAAAAAAAGCACATGCCTGTAGTTCCAGCAGCTTGGAAGGCTAAGGAGGAAGGATCGCCGGAGCCCAGCAGGTTGAGGCTGTGGTGGCTGAGAGCAGCCACTGCACTTCAGTCTGGGCGACAAAGTGAGACTCCAACTCAAAAAAATAAATGAATAAAATAAAAATAAAGAAATAAAGAAAAAATATACATATTTATTTATTTAAAACACCCACTCAGCCCAGTCGCCAGGCTCGGTGGCTCAAGCCTGTAATCCCAGCACTTTGGGAGGCCGAGGTGAGAGGATTGCCTGAACCCAGGGGTTCGAGACCAGCCTGGGTCTCTACAATGAATCAAAAAATTAGCCGGGTATGGTAGTGCGCACCTGTCATTCCAGCTACTTGGAAGGCTGAGGCAGAAGGATTGCAAGTCAAGACTGTGGTGGCTGTGAGCGTGCCACTGCACTCCAGCCAAGCCTGGGCGACAGAGTGATACAACAACTCAAAAAAACAAACAAACAAAAAACACCTAGCCCACCTAAAATGCACCCAGACACTTCCATTAGCCCACAGTTGGGCAAAGTCATCTGGGCCCACAGGACATTGGAGAGTAGGTTGTTTATCCTTGTGACCGTGCGGCAAGAGAGTATCACACCTCTCATCGCGAGGTAGCCCAGGAAAAGCCCAAAACTCAAAATCTAAAGTAAAGTTTCTACTACCTGCATATTGTTTTCGCACCTTGTGTAACACTGGAAAATCGTAAGTCAAACATCATAAGTCAGGACTTTCTGTATTGGGAGACAGGCAAGCCACATGTATAATTGGATGTGGTTCAAGACAGCTGAAGCCTCATCTTTCAGCAAGTGAAGGCAGTGGATACTATCTATTATTGGGGAGAAAAAGCCGGGCTCAGTGGCTCAGCCTGTAATCCCAGCACTTTGGGAGACTGAGGTGAGTGGATTGCCTGAGCCCGCAGGTTCGAGACCCGTCTGGTCAACTTGGCAAGACCTCAACTGTAAAATAAAATCAAAAATTAGCTGGGCATGATGGCGCACGCCTGTAGTTCCAGCTACTTGGAAGGCTGAGGCAGGAGGATCGCCGGAGCCCAGCAGGTCGAGGCTGCAGTG